TGAGATGTTAAGTTTAAGTATGGCATGATCTGGTAATTGAACTGTTTAGTCAGTGACTGATTCTTACCTCACTAAAAATCTATGGAAGAAGAATCATTACTTTAGAATATTAAAAGAAGAATAGTGAGTATAATAGTATTGAAATGAGTTCAGATTTTTCATACCCACTTAGTAGATTGGAATGACACTTCAGTACTTAAAGTTCACATAGCAAATATAAAATAAATTTGAATTATAGGTTTTCTCTTGTGTGAGAAACTTCCCAAACTAAGTTATAACAATAGGTCAAACTTGAGGCTGATAGAAACATTATGAACAGTTTAGATTCCTTTATTTGCATTCTTTTTTTTTTTTTTTTAAAGATTTTATTTATTTATTTGACAGAGAGAGGCACAGCGAGAGAGGGAACACAAGCAGGGGGAGTGGGAGAGGGAGAAGCAGGCTTCCCGCCGAGCAGGGAGCCCAATGTGGGGCTCGATCCCAGGACCCTGAGATCATGACCTGAGCTGAAGGCAGATGCTTAGCGACTGAGCCACCCAGGCACCCCTCCTTTATTTGCATTCTTGCAGAATATTTAAATGTTTTATGGATTAGAGTGGAGACTTTTTTAAAGACAAAGTTTTTGGAAATTAGACAGTTGAGGGTCAGTCAGTGATGAGAATAGTGTTTCTGAAATGAAGTAAATCAAAATGAAAGCAACATATAGCCTATAAGCATGCCTGTAATGTTTTTAGGAATAGGATTATTTAAGGTAAGGTTTATAGTCCTTTCTCCCCCTCCATTTTTGTTTTTCCTTTCAATAATAACCATAGTGTATGTAACTTTTCTGAATATTATACAGAAGGAAAAAATTAGCATTTTATCATATTTCCTTTTATTTCAAATTGAAAGTTTTTGGAGTTCTTTGTTGTGTTAAAGTTTTTATTGTAATATAAAATGTCTAGCTGAGTGATGAGTCTGGGCTTTGCACTGCTGGTGTTGAAAATCTAGTTTTTTTCTTTCTTTCAAGATTTTATTTATTTATTTGAAAGAGAGAGAGAGAGAGAAACAGCATGAGAGGGAAGAGGGTCAGAGGGAGAAACAGGCTCCCCGCTGAGCCGGGAGCCCGATGTGGGACTCGATCCCAGGACTCCGGAATTATGACCTGACCTGAAAGCAGTCGCTTAACCAACTGAGCCACTCAGGCACCCCGAAAATCTAGTTTTGTTGCTTACCGTAACCCCGTGTGGCACTGTGCCATCTCAGTTAGTATTAGCTGCCCCTGCTGCTGTTGCTGCTGCAGCTCTCTCAGAAGTATTCACCAGAGGCTTTCAAATGGTAGTTGCTTAAGCAGAGTAGAATATAAACACAGAATTACTTAACACTTTTTTGCAGTAAAATTGATTCATTGATTCCTTAGAGCTCCTAGAAGTTAAAAATTTATCATCCAGCTGGGGAGAAGTTTTATGTAATGTATTCTGGCTGAAAAAACTCAGGTTTAATCTGAGAGAGATTAGAGGTGTCTTCAGATGTTTTTAGTTCTATTATTTCCTAATTCTTTCTTTTGTAGATTTTAAAAAGATTTTTTGCTTGCCATTGAGTTATAGCACAACATTCTTGCAGTGTGAAGTAAAATTTTCAGTGTACATCATGAATTACATTTTGAACTTTAGTTTGGTGTAGGGCCTATGTCACTGTTTAAACAAGTACTGTGTAAACAAGTGAGAAGCTCATCTCTACAGATGGAGAGGTCAGATCAAGAGATGAAATGCTTGGGCTTAAATTACAAGCCACGCTGACTCAGAAGAGTTTTAAGTTCTGGCTGTGGAGGTAGGCCCAAACTCCTATTAGAGCTGAGTGCCCGAGGTGGCGGTAAAGAGTACTTGTTGCCTGTAAAGCAGACTTACTTGTGTCAACCAATGTGTCTTATGCATACTTAAATCTACTGGGTAGTTCTTTTCTCTAAAGATTAGCCTGTTGTATTTGTTCTGATTCACTTGTAGTTGGCTGTGTCACCTTTTCTTAGGATCTCTTACTGTTAGAGTTCTTAGGTAGTTGAATGTTCTCTGGATGATTTGTGGCTCTTTATTGATTCAAGAGGGACTCATGTCAAATTCCCCTTTGTTTCTGAACTTCCTTTGTTAGGGTTTTTAATAATCCTCTGGAACTGAAGTCAAAGTTCCATGTAGAAGAGCTTCTGGACTGAGCCTTAGTGCTTTTACTGGAATGATCCTGATCCAGGCAGAGGGCCAACCAGGCTACCTGTGAAGAGTGGAAGGTTATAGATTGTGTCTGTGTAAGATTAGATGTCATTTTTTTATTAATTTCAAGTTGTCATGGCCAGTATCCATGACTGTATAATAAATACACTGAACTGGAAACTTTGCCATGGAACATTCATTAGTATTGCAAACTATATCACATACTTCTATCCATTTCACAACAAATTCCTCAAATGTAACAGTTAACCTCCTTTTTACAAAATACGTGGAGAATGCAATGTCAGCTTTCTAGATTAAGTATGTTCTTTCATGTTTTTGCTGTCTTTTAGTTACTGTTTGGAATCATCAAAATCTATTGGAATTGAGTTCTATAGTAGTTCCCCCTTATCCATGGGGGATATGTTACAAAAATGCCTCTGGATGCCTGAAACCACAGATAGTACTGAATCCTATAGATATTTTTTTGTATATGTACGTACGTATGATAAAGTTTAATTTGTGAAGTAGGCACAGTAAGAGATTAACAACAACTGATAATAAAACAATAATTATAACAATATGCTGTAATAAAAGTTATGTGAATGTCTCTCTTATTGTACTGTGCTCACCCGTTTTTTTTTCCTCCTTGTGATGATGTGAGATGATAAAATGCCTACGTGATGAGATGAAGTGAAGTGAATGACATAGGCATCATGATATAGTGTTAGTCTACTACTGATTTTCTGACCATATGTCAGGAGGATCATCCACTTCTGGATTGACGTTGACTGTGGTTTTCTGAAACCGTTGAAAGCGAAATTGCGGGTGAGGGTCGACTACTGTTCTAGGTGTTTATTTGCATGCTACTTTGCCAGCATACTGGCATATTTGTTTTGTTTTAGGAAAACAACTTGTTTTAGAGTCACCTTTGACTAGAGAAACACTTGGTTTGTTTTATTCCATAAATGGATGAAATGTTCATTGAGTTTTATTTTTTAAAGATTATTTTAGAGAGAGAGAGAGAGAGCTAGCACACGCATGAGTGCAAAGGGGGAGGGGCAGAGGGAGAGGGAGAGAATCCCCAGGCAGACTCCCTGCCAAGCGTGGAGCTGGGCGTGGGACTCCATCACAGGACCCTGAGATTGTGACCTGAGCGGAAACCAAGAGCCAGCCGCTTAATCAACTGAGCCACCCATGCACCCCCTCTTTATTTTTAAAGAAGATTCTTGTGCATTCAGATTTGAAACTGCCTGGACTGTTTTTCAGGCAGAGTAGATAGATGTAAAATACTGTGATTAAAAGAAAATCTTCTCAGTCTAAATTTTTTATTGAGATATAATTTATATACCGTATGGTTAACCAATTTAAGGTGTATAATTCAGTGGTTTTTAGTATATTGACCGAGCTGTACAATCATTACTACAATCTATTTTAGAACAGTTCCTTCACTCCCAAAAGAAACCTTATACCTGTTAGTCACTTACTATTTTCTCCTCTCCTGAGGCAACAACTGACTTACTGTTTGTCTCTGTAGATTTGTCTAATCTGAACATTTTGTGTGAATGGAATCATACAATATGGAGCCTTTGGTATATTGGATTTTTTCGCTTAGCATAAAGTTTTCAAGATTGGCCCATATTGTAGCATTTATTAGTCTTTGATTACTGTTGCATCATAAGGACTCACCACATTTTATTTATCCATTTATCAGTTGATTGACATTTACATTGTTTCTACTTCTTGGCTATTACAAGTAATGCTGAACCTTCATGTGTAAGTTTCTTGTGTGGATGTATATTTTCATTTCTTTTGAGTATAATTGTTGGTTCATATGGTAACTTTATTTTTAACCCTTTGAGGAACTGCCTGGCTGTTTTCCAAAGTGGTTGCATCATTTTACATTTTTATCAGCAATGTATTTGTCCTGATCTCCCCACTTCCTCACCAACACTTGTTATCTTTTTTATTATAGCCATCCTACTGGATGTGAAGTGATATCTGGTTGTTTTGATTTGCATTTGCCTAATGGCTTTTGATATTAAACATCTTTTCATATTCTTACTCGCCATTTGTATATCTTCTTTAGGGAAATGTCTATTCAGATCCTTTGCCCATTTTTAAATTGGATTATTTGTCTTTTTATTCAGTATTAGAGTTGCTTATACATTTGGATACAAGTCCCTTAGGAGCTATATAATTTGCAAATATTTTCCCCTATTTTTCATGTTGTAGCATGTATCATTGGGGGTTATCTTTTAACTTTCTTGATGGTATCTATAGTTTTTGCTCTTACATTTAGATCTGTGATCCGTTTTGAGTTACTTTTCATGTCAAGTCTCAGGAAAGGATCCAGTTTCATTTTTTTTTGCATGTGGATATCCAGTTGTCCCAGCACAGATGATTTTTTAATTCTTATATTTTAATTAAGAAATACTTATATTTCTTATACCCGTGGATGAAAACTTTAATTTTAGCTCCATACTATTTGGTTGTCTACCTTGGCTGCACATTGGAATTATTTGAGGAGCTTCTGAAAAATTCTAGTGTTTAGGTTGCAACCTCAGAGATCTTGATTTAATTGGTCTATTGTGGAGCCTAGTAATCAGTACATTTTTTAAGCCTCTTCAGTGATTTTAAAGTCTAATTAGGTTGAGAACCATAGCAATATCCTCCTCAAAAAAAGAAATGGAAAAAAATTCACTGTTTTTTTAATGCTTTACTATGTTTTTCTCCCTTTCAATAATGTATTGCATTTGGCAGTAGAAGAAACAGTTTTTAATTTGCTAAACAATTAATTGTTAAATTTATATTTCTTAATAGAAGGAGGATTATATTTTACATGATAGGCCATTTAAGATGAAATTAAATTCTGGTAAAGAGTAAGTCCTAAAGATGACTTGTGTTTAGGTGTTAGAGAAAATCTCTTAATCCAGAAAGGCATTGAGTTTACTCATCTGTGTTTAACCCATGCAATGAGGAAATAAATTTCACAAAAAACAATGCACAAGGACTCTGATGTACATATATCAGTTCAAGTCAGAGAGAATACCTTTTGGATTGGGTTGTGTGCTGTTTCAGGTTGTTAGAATAGATCACAGTGTATATATTATCCAAATATATTACATATTTCTGATACATTCACAAATATTTATAAGTATATTTAAATATTTAAATATATTCGCATACTTAAAATGCATTACATATTTCCTAGTGTCTTTGGGACATATGGGGGTTTATTATAAATATTAAAAAAAGGTAATTCCTAAGATACTTATTAAGTATGTAGGAACTGTTGAGTTCTGGGATGCAAAGCAGAATAGAACATACATAGTCTTTGCTTTTTACAATCTAGTGGAGAAACAAATATATAAAAAATGATTAGTGGGGCGCCTGGGTGGCTCAGTCAGTTAAGTGTCTGCTTTCAGCTTGGGTTATGATCCCAGGGTCTGGGATCGAGCCCCACATTGGGCTCCCTGCTTAGCTGGGAGTCTCTTTCTCTCTCTCCCTCTGCTGCTCCCCTTGCGTGTGCTCTCTCTCTCCATCAAATAAATAAATAAAATCTTAAAAAAAAAAAAATTGCCAAACCATTTTTCTAAACTGGTTGTACCATTTTCTGTTCTTAGCAATGTATAAGATTTGTTATTCCATTCTTTCTGACAGGTGGCATTGTCAGATTTCTATTTTTAGTCATTCCATTGGGTGTGAGGTGGTATCTCAATGTGGTTTTTTAATTTGGATTTCAGTGATGACTACTAATATGTGGTAGTATCTACTAATTCATGATAGTTAACTGTGTTCTTGGTCATTTATTTTTATTTTAAAAGATTTTATTTATTTATTTGAGAGAGAGTGTGTGAGAGAGAGAGGGATCATGAGCAGGGGGAGGGCCAGAGGGAGAAGCAGACTCCCCGCTGAGCAGGGAGCTGGATGCAGGACTTAATCCCAGGATCCTGGGATCATGACCTGAGCCAAAAGCAGATGCTTAACTGACCGAGCCACCCAGGCACCCTCATTGGTCATTTATATCTTCTTTTGCTAGGTGTTTTGCTCCTTTTTTTTCTTAAATGAGATTGTTTAGTTTTTTAAATTATCCTCATATTCTGGTTGTGAGTCTTTTGTTAGATATATGTATTTTGAGTCTTTCCTCCAGTCATGGCTTCCCCAATCATTTTCTTCTTGTCTTTTGATAAGCATGTTTACTTTAGTGAAATTCATTTTCTCAAACTTTTTTAAAGTTTTATTTTAATTACAGTTAGTTAATATACAGTGTTATATTAGTTTCAGGTGTACACTTAGTGATTCAGCAATTCCCTACATCACCTGGTGCTCATCACAAGTGCACTCCTTAATCCCCCTCACCTCTTTGACCCATCCCTGCAATCACCTCTCCTCTGGTAACCATCAGTTTGTTCTCTATAATTAAGAGTCTGTTTCATTAATTAAGAGTGTGTCACATTTTCTTCATTCATTCATCTATTGATGGATACACTTGAGCTGCTTTCATATCTTGGGTATTGAAAATAATGTTGCTATATAAACATAAGAGTGCATGTCGCCTTGAATTAGTGTTTTTGTATTTTTTGGGTAAATATCTAGTAGTTCAATTACTGGATCATAGGGTAGTTCTATTTTTAACTTTTTGAGGAACCTCCATACTATTCTCCCCAGTGGCTGCACCAGTTTGCATTCCCACCAGCAGTGCAAGAGGGACCCTTTTTCTTCACATCTTTGTCAACACTTACTATTTCTTGTGTTTTTGACATTAGCCATTCTGATAGGGGTGAGGTGGTATCTCACTATGGTTTTGATTTGCATTTCCCCATAATGAGTGATGTTGAGCATCTTTCCATGTGTCTGTTGGCCATCTGGATGTCTTTTTTGGAGAATTGTCTGTTCATGTCTGCCCAGTTTTAATTGGGTTATTTGTTTTTTGGGTGTTGAGTTGTATCTGTTCTTTATATATTTTGGATATTAACCCTTTATGGGATATGTCATATGCAAATATCTTTTCCTTTTCAGTAGGTTGCCTTTTAGTTTTGTTGACTGTTTGCTTCATTGTGCAGAAGCTTTGACCACAACACAAACCCTCTGCAATGTCCATGACCCAGCCACCCCATCTCTCCCACCCGCTCCACTCCAGCAACTCTAAGTTTGTTTCCTGAGATTAAGAGTCTCTTATGGTTTGTCTCCCTCTCTGGTTTCGCCTTGTTTAATTTTTCCCTCCCTTCCCCTGTGACCCTCTGTCTTGCTTCTCAAATTCCTCGTATCAGTAAGATCAAATGATACTTGTCTTTGCGTCTAAAATGAGTCTCTTGCAGACAGCGTATTGATGGGTCTTGCTTTTTTATCCAGTCTGATACCTTGTGTCTTTTGATTGGGGCATTTAGCCCATTTATATTCAGGGTAACTATTGAAAGATAAGAATATAGTGCCATTGTATTGCCTGTAAGGTGACTGTTATGGTATATTGTTTCTGTTCCTTTTTGGTCTGTGTTACTTTTAGGCTCTCTCTTTGCTTAGAGGACCCCTTTCAATGGGTCCCAGCGAAGGTTCCATCCCCCACTTAGCCATTGGAGTGACGTCCCTCACCGGAGCAGACTTCTAAAAGTTCCGATTTTATGCTCTGCTGCTCTGTCATTTTCCGGTAGCTGGCTGTTGGAGGCTCCCTCCCCCCTGCATTCTATTTTCCCGTATATTGCCTCAGATCTGCTTCTCTGTACGTCCTACCTCCAGAAAGTAGTCACTTTTCTTTTCATAGAGTTGCTGCTGTTCTTTTCTTCGATCTCCTGTTGAGTTCGTAGGTGTTGAGAATGGTTTGATAACTATCTAGCTGAATTCCTGGGACCAGACGAAATTTAGGTCTCCTATTCCTCCACCGTCTTGGACTCCTGTTTAATCCATTTTAAATGTATTTTTGTGTTTGTGTGAGAAAGTGGTCCAGTTTCATTCTTCTGCATGTTGATGTCCACTTCTCCCAAATACCATTTGTTGAAGAGACAATCTTTTATTATTGGATATTCTTTCCTGCTTTGTTGAAGATTAATTGGGCCTACAGTTGTGGGTTAGTTTCTGGGTTTTCTATTCTGTTCCATTGGTTTATGTGTCTATTTTTGTGCCAGTACCATACTGTTTTGATCATTACAGCTTTGTAATATAACATGAACTCTAGAATCGTGATGTCTCCAGCTTTGTTTTTCTTTTTCAAGATTGCTCTGGCTAGGGGCTCCTGGATGGCTCAGTCGGTTAAGCATCTGACTCTTGATTTCGGCTCAGATCATAATCTCAGGGTCGTGGAATTGAGCTCCGTATTGGGCTCCACACTCAGTGGGGAGTCTGCTTGAGATTCTCTTTCCCTCTGCCCCCTCCCTTGCTTGCATGCACACACTCTCTAAAATAAATAAATAAATCTTTTAAAAAAATAAAAAAGATTGCTTTGGCTAGTCTGGGTCTTTTGTGGTTCCATACAAATTTTAGGATTATTTGTTCTAGTTCTGTGAAAAATGCTGTTGGTATTTTGATAGGGATTGCATTAAATGAGTAGATTGCTTTGGGTAATATAGACATTTTAACAGTATTCTTCCAGTCCATGAAGATGGAATGTTTTCCCATTTCTTTGTATCATCTTCAATTTTTTTTCATCAGTGTTTTATAGTTTTAGAGTACAAGTGTTTCACCTCTTTGGTTAGGTTTCTTCCTAGGTGTCTTACTATTTTTGGTGCAATTGTAAATGGGGTTGTTTTCTCAATTTCTTTTTCTGCTGCTTCATTATTGGAATATAGAAATGCAATAGATTTCTGTATCTTGATTTTGCATCCTGCAACTTTACTGAATTCATTAAATAGTTCTAAGCAGTTTTTTCGTGGAGTCTTTTGGGTTTCCTCTATATAGTATCATGGCATCTGCAAATAGTGGAAGTTTGACTTGTTCCTTAACAATTTGGAAACCTTTGATTTCTTTTTGTTGTCTGATTGCTGTGGCTGGCACTTCCAGTACTGTGTTGAGTAAAAGTGGTGAGAGTGGCCCTCCTTGTATTGTTTCTGACCTTAGGGGAAAAGCTCTATTTTTCCCCATAAAGGATGATTTTAGTTGTGGGTTTTTCCTATAGGGCCTTTATTGTGTTGATGTAGTTCTCTCTCAACCTGCTTTGTTGAGGGTTTTTATCATGAGTTGATGTGGTAGTTTGTCAGATTCTTTTTTCCACTACTGAGATGATCATATGGGTCTTATACTTCCTCTTATTGCTGTGATATTATCACTTTGATTGATTTGCGAATATTTAATCACCCTTGCATCCTGGGAATAAATCCCACTTGCTCAGCATGAATGATTTTTTAATGTATTGCTGTATTCAGTTTGCTAGTATTCTCTTTAGTATTTTTGCATTTGTGTTCTTCAAGGATATTTGCCTGTATTTCTCTTTTTTTGTGGTGTCTGTCTGGTTTTGGTATCAGGATAAGGCTGGCGTGATGGAATGAATTTGGAAGTTTTCCTTTTCTATATTTTGGAATAGTTTGAGAAGAATAGATTTTTTTTTTTAAGATTTTATTTATTTATTTGACAGAGAGAGAGAGATAGCGAGAGCAGGAACACAAGCAGGGGGAGT